AGTCAACTTTCCACTTGGCGTATCTTGAAAAGAAGTGGATTTCATACTCTGCTTCTTGCTCACCTTCGTCATGAACTTTATAGGTGACGTGTTGACATTCATAGCTTCTTTTCTTTCAGACTTGGGTACGAACTTTCCCCACTTCCTGACTTCTTGCTTGTCATTCTCTTTGCGAGGTTCATAGATGGGCAGCCTTTCATTTCCAGCGGATGCCATGCTCAATTCCATGTCATGGGCACGAGTTGCAAGTTCTTCAAATGTGACTGGCTTGATACCTTGCAAGATGTAGCGCAATCCCAATGCATTCCTTGGATGTACATCTCTATGCCTGAAGCTTCACTAAGCCTGTCTTTGCAGTTGAGGCTTGCATTCCTTCGACGATTGATAAAGTCGATAACTGGTTCCCCTTTTTATGGAAGAGTATATGTAAGTTCTATCATACTCACAGTATGTCTCGTACTATAAAAGCGATTGAGGAACTCATGCTCTAGTTGATCCAGCCTCGAGGTCTGTGTACCAGTTAGAAGCGTTTTCTTTTAGCGAGCGGATAAACTGCTTGATGAGGTAATCTCCATAAGTCTCAGCATTATTTCACGTCCCCACGAAGTACACCACATGTTGCTTTGGGTTACCTTTACCATCAAACAGTTGAAACTTTGAAGGTTGATAGCCAGCATGCATCTTCAACATATCGACCCTTGCAGTGTACGACTTTGCATATGTAAGGGAGGATTGGCGGCAACTTCATATTTGTTCTTAATGGTTTCTTCAATGAACTCCTTCAGTTGATCGATTAGAATCATCCCTTCAAATGAGATAGGTATAGCCTTAGTAGATGCTACTTGTCTTGGGGGAGAGTCACTCTCTAGAACTTCTGGGAGCTTGCCGGGTGCATGAGTAGATTCTTGTTCCATCAAGATTCTTACCCTATCTATTAGCTTTAGCCTCTTGATTTTGCATGCATTTGGTCAAGCCAGCGATGGCTTCCGTCAAGTTTGCCAACTGCTCCTCCACAGATGAAGTGTTTGTCACCATGGCTTACATGATCGTCGTGGACTACAGAGAGTAGCATGGATTTTCACACAGATTGATCCTTGATTGGCTCACGCTATGTGGTGTAAGTGGGGAGGATCCATCACTTGAATCATCATCATCTTCCTTCACAGTAGAGTGCTTGGATCCGGAAAGGTCAAGCAGTGCAAGAGTTTTCTTAATCTTTTCAGCAACATCGTTTCCTCCTTCAGGTGCGTTTGTGGAAGATCTTGCTCCTTTTGAGGGTGAAGATCTGAAAACAGGTGTTGATGCGGAAGGCAGTTGAGGTACTTGTATTCCTAAAGAGCTCGCTTTGCTCCTCGTAACTGGTCCGAAGCTTCCAAAGTTAACAACTAGGATGCTTTCTACATCAGCATAGAACTTGGAGTTAGCAGCCTTGGCGGAAGTTGAACCAGAGTTGATTTTCTTTGAAGCTATTTCAATGTTCTTGGACTTTGGTGATTGAAAAATTGAGATGAGAGGTAGAGATTGTCCCACTGGGCGTGCCGAAATTTTGTAGACAATAAATTGCGTCGAGAAAATAAAATCAAGATTGAAAAATATCGCAACAATCGTAGTATTTTATTTTGAATATTTGAGTGTACAATCTCTATGATTCCTCCGATTCTACTTTTCTAGTATAGATTCAATGACATTTGAGCTTGATCTTGAATTTTATTTTATTTTAATCCAAGTGCTTAAGGCCTGATCTTGATCTTGAAGTATTTTTAATCCAAGGGCTTGCAGCTTTTTCTTGAATTTTCGTCTTGATCTTTTAATCCTTAGAACGCCTGAATGCTTGTAGCTTTTAGAGAAATCTGCAGCGTTTGATCCACGAGCTCTCTCTTGATTTTTGTTATAACTTCTGGTTTCTTTTCTGGGTTATGAAGACCGCTATTTATAGTTGTGGAAGGGAAGAGTTATGATAAGAACAAACTCTTTCCGACCAATCAAATTGAAGTGTGACATGACCGCATTTGATTGGCCAAAACATGTCACTTGCACACGTTGCGCGATTTCATTGGCCTTTTAGTGTGACTTGGCATGCCTTGTCATTTTGACATGTGGCATGATCCTACTGGCTCTTCCATTTGACTTGGCGCGCCACGTCATTTGACACGTGACACTAAACTGGGCCTCTAGGAAGATGTTATCTTGGGCTTAATGAAGTGGGCTCATCACTTTAGCCCAACTAAATGGGCTAGCCCAATGAATCAAGACTTATTTATTTAATCCATACATGTTGGACTAATCCAATTAGCCCAATAAATTTATCTGAACTAACGCATCTTGAATTTAAAATGTAGTCCAAATTATTTTACGGATTTAATTCCAATAAAATTTATATGCCTACAGTTACCATGTATTGCAAGGACTATTTTAAAAAATATCTCGATCTATCAGTGATTGTGCATAATGTACTTAGTATTCCTATTACCACTGTAGCATCAAAATCATTTAGCATTGGTGGGCGTGTTCTGACAAAGTACAGAAGTTGCATCCGTCATGAAAATGTCCAAGCACTTGTTACTACTCGAAATTGGTTGTACAACTTTTCTCAAACTGAAACTAGTAATATTTTTTATGTGAATTTGAATATTATTAGTTTTAAAATTTTATTATTCTTAATATTTAACTAATTAATATTGCATATGAATTGTAGATGTAGATGAAAGTGAAGATGTTAAGACAACCTTGTCACAAGAGGATTCAAATGTGTTTGATGAAGATAATGTGTTGGATATCCCATAAGCATGTTTTGACTTTTAGTGAATACAATATAGTCTTGTCTTTTACTTTTTTAGTGTTTATTGTGATATATTGAAACAATATAAAAAGTTATTAAGTTTTGTGAAATTTTTCCAATAAGATATTTTTTAACTTTTAAATATTTATCTGTTTTTAGGTTAGAATTTAAAAAATATATATAAAATTATATTTTAAAAAAATGATGGGTCGGCCCATGGGGACTTGCGGCCCACATAGGGCTGGGATGGGCTGGCCATTGTAAGATCCATCAAAATGGTGGGCTAGCCCAACCCAACCTGTCATTTGCTAAAGCCCACGCGGGCCGGGCTGTGTAACCTGACCAGGCCCGTATTGACAGCTCTACAAATTAAAGTGAGTCATATTTACCTTCATCTCCAATTACTATTGCAACTTATTAGCAAGGGCGGCTCTAAAAGCTTTGGCAGTGAGGACCCCAAAATTTGGAGGTCCCAAATTTATTTTAAATTATTATTATTATTATTACTATATATTATATAAATAATTAATATAAAGAAAAGTGTTACAATTTATTTTTTTTGTTATTTGATTGAGGTTATTTTATATCAATAAATTCCTAAATTATGATAATTTTCTTTACTGATTAATTAATATATTTGCTTCAGTCTTCAATTTTAATTTTATCCTTTTTATATAAGAATTAAGTTACATATATCGTCAAAATAATAAATTTCTTTTACTATGTTCTCTCAGACTGCATGAACACAAAAGCATTCATGTACCAATTTTTTTTTAGTATAATTCGATATATTATATTAGGTTATTTATAATTTATTTTAGATATCACCAATAAGTGATACTTAATATAATGAACTACAATTATCGTTTAAATTGATCAGAAGGAGTAAATATTTTTGACACATTAATGCTCAAAACTTAAGCTATTATATTATGTATGTTTATTTCTTTTTCTTATTTTGATGATAGCCAAATCAAAATTTGTGGACATCAATATCCGAAAGTCCACAACTTTATTTTTATGCTCTTCTTCCTATTTTTTTTTTAATTTTTAAATTCGCTTATTTTTGTCTCAAATAATTAATTTGTTTGTTAGAAAATAAATTTTGTCGTTAGTATAAATATTTTATAAAATAATTTTAAGGGCCTTTCAATATAGTTTCGCCTTAGGCCATGTGATCCATTGAGTCGCCCCTTGTGCTCCACTTAGAGACACGGCACCTAATAACAGAATGAAAAAGACACGGGATGTACTTACAGATGTCCGTTGAATTGTATTTTTTTTAATATTTAAATAAAGCCAATAAAATATAACCTTATAGTGGCTCTATGTGTAGTTGAAAACGAAGAACGCAGCTAGCCTCAGTTAAAGAACATCACAAAATTGTCTGAGCTAAGCCCATTGCACGTATTATCCTTTTTGAGTAAGGATTTTTCTTTTGAGCTACGCCATATAGAGCACGCGTATCATGTGAACTTGTGTTAGACTTTATAAAGCTCTTCACATTTCTCTCCCATTTCAATGTGGGATTCACTTAAGGTGACATGTGCACCCCTTCTTTAAAAGCTTGCTAGCCTAAAAGCATGTCAGTCCTGCTTGACCCGCTCTTATCATCCCACCCTCCGTCATGGCATAAAAAAAATTGTGCGGTATCGTCTATAATTTTTATTTACTTTCGTGGACTTTTATTTAGAACTATTTCTAAAAAGTTATCCTATGAAATTAATGTATTGGGACATTATCCATTTTTTCTTATCACATGGAATGAAATTGTATATACTACTAAAGTTTAAATAAAAATTAGTACTACGTATTATTTTTTTAATTACAAAAGGCAGTAATTAACCAAGGATTGCAATCATGTTCGATATTTCTTCTTCTCTGACATCACGAAAAGATTGGACTCTTTTGTTACTAAGAAGGTGAAGCACAGTAACACTTCTAACTTGCCTCCAATATTCGCCATAGGGACTAAAGGCCACATCCTTGGAACCATAAAAGAGTCTATCAGCCATTTTAGATTTAGGTCTATTTGACCAGACGAGATCGTGGATTTTCATGATATCACGAGCAGCATCTACAGAGGAAGCAACAACCATTGGCTTACTGCCCAAGTGAAGTAGCATCACTGGACCATGTTTTTCTGATAGTTTATGGAGAGAACGATGAGGATGCGACCCAAGTTGGTGCAAATTTCCTATGATTGGAAGCTTTCTTGGAGATGGTGGTAACTTGTTTTGGGCGTTTGAAGTAGTAAAGAACCATTGATGGAGGAAGAAAATGAAAACAAACAAAGGAATTAGAAGACTGTAAAAGGGGAGGTCCATTTTTGTTTGAGCAAGGAGTATTGAAATCGAGAATTGGGTATAGGTAATATATTTGGAGACGTACGAATATTTCTTTATCATACAAATCTGATAGGAATTACTGAAGCTGATTTTGTGTGTTCGCGTATATCCGAAGAAGCTTTACCACACAAACTAAAGGAGATGACTGCAAATATTTGCATTGCCTGACAAAAAGGACGTAACTTCAAAATTTGTGTCATACGACGTGAGGTCACCAGAAATTTGAAACGCAACCAAGATACTGGCACTTCTAGCAAATAATTACATTTTCTTTTTTTCTTGGGCGAGAGTGTGATTCCAGTTCAGTGATAAACTTAAGAGATCTTTTATATTCTCTAACTGAAAACATAATTAGCAGAGTGGCCTTAGGGAAGAAATATAATGAAGGGGAAAGAGGAATCAAGGCTAAGGCCATCCCAGATGAATTTGGTGATCTTTTAGGTGCTTTCAACGTCGGTGACTATATTCCGTGGCTTGAATGGCTCAATAAAATCAATGGCCTGGACACCAGAGTGGAGAAAGTAGCTAAGGAATTGGACGCATTTTTGGAGAGTGTGATTGGAGAACACATGATTAGGAACAAGAAAGGAGAAGACAGTGGGGGTGAAGCTAAAGACTTAATGGACGTTTTGTTGGAAATTCAGAATGGAAATGAAACAGGCTTTCCTCTTCAGAGGGATTCATTGAAAGCTCTTCTACTGGTAAGCATCTTCTACTTCCACATATATAGTGGCAAATCAAGTTTAATGTTCTAACAGACGTTCCAAGATGATTATACAAACTTAAGTCTTATGTGAATAAGTGAGCTATTGTTTACACTATGCACACTTTATATATGTGTGTGTATGTAGTATATACACAATATTTGTGAATATATATATATATATATATATATATTATTAAATAGGCTGTCTGGAACCTCGCTCGCGGAAGTACAAATGGAGCTTAATTTGTTTTTCTGTTTCTTTTTAATGCATAGGATATATTCGCTGGTGGTACGGATACGACGTATACAGCTTTAGAGTGGACAATGACAGAGCTTTTGAGGCATCCAAGAATCATGGAGAAATTACAGAATGAAGTGCGACAATTAGTCCAAGGAAAATCAGAGATAACAGAGGATGACTTAGGAAATATGCAGTATCTAAAAGCAGTGATCAAAGAGACTCTTAGATTCCATCCACCGATTCCACTACTAGTCCCTCGAGAATCAATGGAAGACGCAAAATTGCTAGGCTACCACATACCTGCTAAAACTCAAGTCATTATCAATGCTTGGACAATCGGAAGAGATCCTTTGTCGTGGGATAATCCGGAGGAGTACCGACCAGAGAGGTTCTTGAATAGTAATATTGATGTCAAAGGACTAAATTTTGAGTTGATTCCCTTTGGAGCAGGCAGAAGGGGCTGCCCAGGAATTGCTTTTGCTAATGTGGTAAATGAGCTAGCAATAGCAAGGCTTGTACACAAGTTCAATTTTGCATTACCAGAAGGGATAAAAGGGGAGGATTTGGATATGACTGAAGGCACTGGCATCACTATTCGTAGGAAGTCACCTTTGCTAGCAGTGGCCACTCCTTGCTCTAGTTAGGAATCTTTTTTCCTCCATTGCTTACTATCACTAATTCTACATATCCACAAGTATAAGCGATGGAACATAGATCCCATCATCGCTATGGCTAATTGTAACTTTACAATTTGTATTAAGCGTACTGGTTGGACTCCCTTTTCAGTGTTTATACATATGTTTTATTTTCTTGTATGCATGATTTCTTGTTCTATATTTTTTTGGGCCAAAAATCGCCTTGTGGTGCCAAGGATTTGGCCTATATCTACTTGCACACTAAATTTCCATAGCTGTGCTTGTTCTTCAGAATTCTCCACGCAGTAATAGATACATCTTGATTGGAACATGTTTGCGACAAATCCAGCTGAAATTAAAGTTTCTGATGCATTTGCCTCCTGTCTATGTGCTTTCCAAGCAGAGATCAGATAGGTGAGTCATATTTACCTTCATCTCCAATTTCAATATATACCACTGTTATGTTCCAAAAGAAATTCTGGCAACAACTACTGCAGCTTCTTAGTGCTCCACTCCTTTCCTTCAAAGAATTCTATTACTATTTGTCTCCCAGCTGGTTCTCTTTGTGTGTGTAAGAAATTGTACTAAAGCTCCTATTCCGGCCCAGTTGTCTCACCAAAAGGATGAGTTTCCCATGTTAATCCTCCATAATATGGAGCTTCAGCATTAAATTCAGTCTTCTTAAATTTGGGTTGTAAGGATTACAAAAACTTAAGGCACAAAATAATTTCATTTGTTAGAAAGTTTATGCATTATTGTCAGTTTGACATCCTTAAATGAGAAAAACTTTAATCAGCCATAGCTCTTTAAGGTGACAAATGAGTGGTGTACCGGTCCGGTATTATTAAAACGACAAATCAATTCTGTTCAAAATAAAAGAGATGATTTAAAGTAGACAGAGTATCTCCCCTTTTTAATCACGATCCGTATTTAGAGTACGCGCGTTGCGCGTGTACCTCATCTCACTAAGTAGTTAAAAAAACATATAAAAACTGTATTAAAAATGTGTTCCAGCTATAAAAATGCGTAAGTTCCTGAAGAATATCTATCTTATGTAGCTAACTCAATAAATGGAATGTCTTGTAGAAATCCTCAATCATCATGAAATATATTCAATTTAATAAATTATCATGCTTTTTCTTTAGTTTCAGCAAAAATAAATGGCTTGAAGATTTTAAAGTTTCTTCGAAAATATTTTCAATTCATTCGAGAAGAACCGAACAAGGTTAGCTATACTTTTATTATAACTTTTTAAAGAATTGTTCAAAATACAAATTAAAAAAACTTTTGATCTTTTAGAGATTTGGAAATGAAGAGGTTGGCCATATGACACATGAAAAAAACCAATAAATAATAAGGTAAAGTATCAAAATAGCTAATATTGATATTTTGTTTTTTAACTATTTCATCCATATTTCTTCTAAGTTTCTGAGTCTTAATATTGTACTAAGAATTTTGTCAACTTGAAATAATTCTATTTGTATGATGAATTTGAAAAATAATAGAATTGGATTCTTTTTCTAATATGGTATTTTAAAGATTTAATTCCTTATTCTTCCTACTAAAAAAATTATCTTCTGTGATTCAAATATTTAGTATTTAACTGTAATATTATTTTATCAACTAAGAGTTCTCTTTTTAAAGGCTAAAAAAATTAATGCCTATGTCTTGAATCCTTGTGTTATACATAGGACAACAAACATGCAAAAGTGGATACTCTATTTCATAGTTAGCTGTGTCTAATGGTCAAAATTTCATTGTTAATTTGATTACTTTAAATTATGTTCATTACTTTTATTATTATGACAAAATGAGAGTATCTTTATTTTTGGACTCCTATATTACATATTTTGCTATATAATCTTTTTATATGCTTTCTTATTTAATTATATAAATATTAAATATTATCTAATGACTATCCATCGTTCAATTTTATTCATATACCTAACGTTAATATTCTTTTTTGTGTATAGCCGAATTGAAGTGGTCAAATTTTAATTAATTTTAAAATTCTAAATATTATGGATTCTTACATAGTTCAAATAAAGACAAGTTTAATAAATAATTTTTAAAAATAATTAAATACCATTCTATCTAGTGTGAAATTTATTTTTGAAGGGCAAAAAAATTGAATGACACTTTGCTAAGGGCCTTTGTGCTTTCAATATAGTATAAATACTATATGATATATGTATATTAGGCCTATTAGTAATTATTCATGTATTTTAGTCCTATTAATAAAAATTTGTGTAGGTGAAATCGTAATTGATCTGACTGTCACGACCCAAAATCTAATAAAGGTCGTGATGGCGCGGGACACCACTGTCAGGCAAGCCAATACTAAATAGTTAATTAAATCTTCAATTATATTTTTGAAATCATAAATTTTTCTTCAATTTAACTAGTAAAAGATGAACTTTAAAGAATAATAATAATGTTTTCCAATTTCAATATTAAATATCCCATAATCATCCCAGAACCTGGTGTCACAAATGCATGAGCATTTACTAGGAATTAGAAATACAATACGATAGCAATCTGGAATACAGATTTGGACAGAAAAGAAAACACAAGTACTCTGAAGGAGACCCTGCTGGCTGCGGATCGCCTCGTAAGATGCAACTCACCTAAGTTCCCGTATCAACCACGTAGCTGCGCCCACGAGGCCACTAGACATACATGTGCCTGTACAATAAAATATACATCAAATGTAGTATAAGTATGAAAACAACGCGTACCGAGTAAGTATCTAGTCTGATCTTGAAGAAGTAGTGAGGAGAGGTCGATTTCGACACTTACTATTGCCAACAATAATATACCAATAATGTGATATATCATGGATTTTAAGAGGTGACTGCAAACTCAATAACATGGTGCAGGTAAATAATTCTTTTGTTAATAGAAATTTCCAAATTTATTTTCATCTTTTAGCAATTTACATCTCCGGCCAATGAGGCCACATCAGTTATCAATAATTCCAAAATAATGAATCAAGTCATGCGCAAATTATGTCGAGGTCGTACAGCCCAATCCAACATAATATTTAACTGTGTACTGCCGGAGGGTCGAACGACATGAACCATAGATGCATCTATATAATTTGTCAAGGCGTTCGACCCGTTCCACAAAAGATAAGCACATTCTAACAACCAAATCAAGAATTGATTAAGGGTTAACGTTTCAAGAAATATCAAATTCTCATTGACGGTCAAGTGACCCGTCCTCGACTCAAGTAGGCAGAGTTTACCCTTTTTAAATTCCTTTATCAAGTTCCAAGATGGCTTAGACAATTAAATTAACACGTAGGATACTAGCATCGCAAATACAACATGATTTGGGTACTAGAATACCAGAACATAAGCATAATAGTAGCTACGCACAGACTCTCGTCACCTCATGCATATGTAGCTCTCACAAATAGAAGCATGTATTAATTTAGTTCACCTATGGGGTTAATTCCTGTGATGACCCAAAAGGTCATCTCGTATTTTCGAACCCTATTCTGGGTTCCGAGGCCTTCAAAACCCCATCTTACTTCTCTTTGATTTGCGTGCGCAGTCCGGGGCATTTCCGAAAAGCCTTTATGTGAAAATTGGAGAAAATAATAATTTTAGCCTTTAAAAATTGATTTAGTTGACTTCGGTCAACATTTTGAGTAAATGGACTCAGACCCGTAATTTGACGGCCCCGGAGGGTCCGTAGTAAAATATGGGATTGGGAGTATGCCCAGAATCGAATTCCGAGGTCCCTGGGCCGAGTAATAAATTTTTATTAAAAATTGTTAAACTGGAAATGTAAGGATTTAAAGAAATTGAATAATGTTTGATCTTGTGAGTATCGGGCCGTATTCTAGTTCCGGAGCTCGATACAGGTTTAATATAATATTTAAGTCATGTTTTTGAAATTTGGTGAGAAACGGGACTGATTTGATGTGATTCGGACGTCCGGTTGTGAAAATAAAAATTTCAAGTGTTCTTAAGGATCTCATGCAATTTGGTACTAAATTCATAGTTCTAGATTTTATTTTGGTGATTTGATCGCCCGAGCAAGTTCATATGATGTGTTAAGACTTGTGTGCGTGTTTGGTTTGGAGCTCCGAGGGCTCGGGTGAGTTTCGGGTAGGCTACAGGATGTTTTATACTTAGAAAACCTAGTGTTGGATAGTTGCAGAAATTGCAGGTCTCAGATCCTAGGAGCGCAGCCGGGGAATGAAATTTACGGTCCGCGGTGGGGACTTCGCGACCGCGGTAGGGTAAGGCTCAAGTTCGTGGCCGAACCCATAATTACGCGGACCGCGGTGGGGTTTGCGACTGCGCCCAGAATTTCGCGGACAGTGTAGCATAGATCAGATGGGTGCTATATAAACGGGATTTTTCATTCATTTTTCAAACCCTAAAACATAAGAGGCGATTTTCCAAACACTTTTTCTTTCCTAAATCATGAGTAAGTGATTCTTAACTCATTTCTTTCACTCTTTTACTTCTTTTCACAAGATTTCATCTTAGAATCTAGGGTTTTCATGGTGGAATTGGGATATTAGGTAGAATTAGGATTGTTGTATAATTGGGATTTAGACCTCGATTTGGGGTCGGATTCCGAAACTAATTACATATTTGAGCTTGTGGGTGAATGGGTTTTGGTCCGAACCTCGAGTTTTGACCAAGCGGGCCCGGGGTCAGTTTTTGACTTTTTGGGGGAAAGTTTAGGAAAACTAAATTTATATATTGCAGTTGATTCCTTTAGTAATAATTGATGATATTGAGTTAATTCTGACTAGATACGAGTGTATTGAGGTGGAATCTAGAGGAAAAGCGGTATTTGAGGCTTGAGTTTGGCCGTGGAATCGAGGTAAGTGTTGTGGCTAACCTTAGCTTAAGGGATTAGGTGTTGTTGCCTTATTTGCTATGTATTTGGTTGTTGAGTGCGGCGTATAGGTGAAGTGACGAGAACCTATACGTTGTCGTCGAGTCATAGCATGCGAGTGATTCTTATACTTGTGACTGTTGTATTTCTTTAAATGTACTATTCATACTTTAACTGGTTAAATCTTCATGTTAAACAAGTCTTATTATGTTTTTCTTAGTTTTGGATA